GCCCCACCCTGCGCTCTCAACACCCCCCCCCCCAGGTGCTGCAGGTCACTTTCCGCGACCTCACGCCCTCGAACGCCACCTACCTGTCCGACCTGCTGACGGCAAAGTGCGGCGGCGCCCCCAGCGGCTGCATGGACGACATCCGGCGCGAGCTGAAGGACAGGCTGGGGCTGGCCGCGGACGATGACTCGAAGATGCGCGTCTCCATGCTGTCGCGCCCGCAGGTGCGGCGGCTGCGACTGCTGTGCAAAGCCTGTGATGTGCCCCGCTCTTTGCGCTGTCGGCGTGGGAGCAAGGCGGGATGAGAGGAGGGGAAGCAGCGGCTGCACGCGCCCGCGCTGCTGGCCGCTGGCTATTATGCGGCACTCTGACGCTGTACGGACGCGCTCTCACGCCCACCGGCACGGCTGCCCTCACACCCAGACCCTCATGAGCGTCATCCTGTCGGTGGGGCTGACGGACAGCGACCCGGGCCTCGTCGCCGCGACCAGGCAGCACCTCCGCCAGTGGGTGCAGCAGCGGGAGGTCGTGGACTTTCTGGAGCAGCTGACAATGCTGGCCGCGCCCTTTGGCGACGCCACGCCCTCACTACCGCTCCCGAAAGGCCCCGCGCCAGGCGGGCGAGCGCCCGCCGCGGCCGCGGCGGCGGTCAAGCCCCGCGCGGCGGGCGTGGAGCCGGGCGCCGGGCGTGGGTGGGGCCCGGTGCATCCTGGGAGCGAGCTGCCCGCCGGCCCAGCGGGCCCGGTGGTGGTGGTGGATGTTGACATGCTGGCGGCGGTGGGCCGCGCCGCCACGCTGGCCGGCGCTGCAGCGGCCGCAGCCCGCGCTGCGGCCGTCGGGCGCTCGCAGGAGCAGGGCGGCGGCGTTCCCGGCGCGCAGCAGCTGGGGCCCGACAACAGCACCAGCAGCATCGGGACTGGGGGCGACGGGGGAGGACGAGGTCCTGGCGCTTCGCTCACCGCGGCAACCATCGTCGGGACGGCGGTGGGCGCTGCCCTCGGCGTGCTGGCGGTGGCGACGGCGGGCGTGGCCGCGGCACGGCGCCGTCGACGGCTCACGGGCGGGGCCTCGGAGCGCGGCAAGCCGTCAGAGGCGCCGGCGGTCCTTGCCGTCGAGGCAGGCTCGTGGCCGGAGACGCCGCGCAGCGGGCCAAGCGGCGGGGGACCCAGGGTGAGTCGCCGCCTTGGGAACGCCACTGAACAAGATTGCGATTGGCCATAAAAGCCTGCGTTTGGTAGTGGTGGGGTTTGTGCAGGAATCTTGCGCGCAGGTATGCTCCTCATGCAACAATCCATCGGCGCTGCCTCTGCTGCCGCCTCCACC